AGCAGCCCCAACTCTTGAGATAAGTGCTAAGGGCAGGGACTCTGGCCCTTCCCTACAAGTGGGCCCCACTCACACAGACAGCGTCTCTTCCCCAGCCTCACCCTGCCCACTACAGCTGATGCTTCCCTGGCAGAGGGACGGGACGGTGTGCAGGGACTTTGAGCTTAACCCGGTGCCGGAGCGAGCAGCAGGCTGAGAGCAGGTCTCTGCAGCCCCAGCGTGGGAAGCCTGGCACTACAGGGTTTTAATGACCACGAGGCATCAGGGACTTGGTTTGACGTCTGCAGCGGAACATCCTCCAACTCCCCCGCGGGCCATCCGCCCGGCGCCGGGGACGTCGCCCCACAACAGCTTGGAGAAGGCAACCCACGGAGCTGTTTGCAGCCTCCCGCCCCGACAGCAGGAGCCAGTGAACTCTTGAGACATGAGGATCCTGTTTTTGTACAAACGTTCTTCGTAATAATCCAAACATCCAGGGCAGAGTGGGGCGCAAACGTGCTGTGTCAGCGGAGTTCTCCGTAGCCAGGGGTTCTGGCCAAGTCTGCCTGCTTTAGAGACAAGCCCGAACCTTGCATCCGTCCTGCCTCCCACCCACAGCAAACCCCAGGCCTCCGCTGGGGGCAGTGGGATGTGGCTTCCTGCTTTCCTTCTCGAGCCCGTGGAAGCCCCAGACTGGCTGAGCTTAGAGGAGCTCTCCCTCCATGACCTCTCTGCAGCAAAGAAGCTGGTGAATCCCGACTGTAAGGCTGGTTTTCCCACTAGGGCTCCCTGACTCACGTCACGTCGCGGTGGCGGCCGTTCGGGGGGACCAGGTCTGCTCCTTGGGCTGGATACAAAGCAGCGAGCAAGAAGCCAGGCGTGGGCAGCCTGATGTCCTGAGCCAGCCAGCACAGAGACTCGCTCCATAACCGCCCCTCTGCTAGGAGCCAGGTCGAGATCCACAACAGGGCTCGTTTCCTCCTAGTACACAAGCCACTGAGCCGCCTGCGCTCAGCTCTGCTGCTGGCCCGGCTCCCTTGGCTTTTGAGACCAAGATCACCAGAAAGATGGGTGCCGGGCCCGCCCCTGGCGAGCAGCAGGAGCAGCCGGCCGATGGACGTGCCTTTGCTCCACGGCCCATTGCAAAGCACCTTGAGCCTTGCTCATCCCTGTGACTCTTCCCAGAGCTCAGTGACGGAAAGGCCCCCCGAGATCCTGCTTAGTGCATCCAAATGGCTCAGTCAGATCCCACCGGCTCCTCCGGCCCTACGGCCACGGCCGGATTGTTCCCTCCAGGCTGTTCCTACACAGCCTAGGGGACAGCACTTCTACAACTTCCCTTGGAGAGAGACTCCGCAGCCAGACAGCCTGCTGCTGGCCTCCCGCTGGCTGGGAAGCCAGTGGAGTCCCTGGGAGCCAGGGTTCCCCATCCCTCCCATGCCTGCTTGGGGCTAATCACCTCAGTCTGTTGCTAAGCCAGGCAGGCTGGACAGCCCGGTCTCGGTGGGGGCGGGGCGCTACTTAGTGATTCCAAAGCCAGAGCAAGATAAGGATTTATGTAAGTGCATTAAAAACCACAGCCATTCGCTGTCTGGCAGGGGGCCCCGGGGCCCATCCGGGGACCCGGCTCCCGGTCAGCAGCTGTGGCGGGTTCGTGTGAGTGCTGCCCTTTGGCTGGCTGCCTGTCCGGGTGAGGGGGGAGGCCACACGCGTTTCCAGTGCAGTAGCCCGGCCAACTGGGAGCTCTTGTGAGGAGCGTAATTAATAAATAAATAAGTTATTACAGGAAGCTGGCTCCTCCCGGGCCAGGCCCCCCGGCGGCCAGCATTCTAGCAGGACCGAACTCTGTGGGAGCGGGGCCCCGGGGGACGGGCTGGACGCCTTGCACCTGCTCCTGCAGTCCTCTCACAGGCAAAACCTCCCGGGGCTTTCCTCACGCGTTGGGAGCTAGAACCTGTTGTTCCTCCCAGCTCATCGCTAGCAGTGCCATGGGACCTGGGATGCTGGGGCATGGGGGATGGGGTACCAGGTTGGAAGGATTTGGGGTGAAGTGGGACAGTAGGGAGTTCAGGGTGCACAAGGGTTAGCAGGGTGGGGGTGCGCAGCAGTGGTGGAAAGGGAGATTGGGGTGCGCTGTGGATGATGGGATGGGGGTTCAGGCTGCACAAGGGGTGCCAGGGTTGGGGGGTGCAGCGGTGGTGGAAGGGGAGATTGGGGTGCGCTGTGGATGATGGGATGGGGGTTCAGGCTGCCTGTGGAGTGCCGGGGTTGGGGGGTGCAGGGGTGGTGGAAAGGGGGATTGGAGTGCAGTATGGATGATGGGATAGGGGTTCAGGCTGCACAAGGGGTGCTGGGGTTGGGGAGTGCAGCGGTGGTGGAAAGGGGGATTGGGGTGCACTATGGATGATGAGATGGGGGTTCAGGCTGCACAAGGGGTCCCGGAGTTGGGGGGGTGCAGAGGTGCCAACATCAGAGAGCCTGACCATTATGTGGGCTCATGGCACCTACCCTGGCCCAGGGCACAAGGTCAGATCAGGGTGTTTCAGCCCATGTTGGACCCACAGGGGTCAGACTTTCTCCCAGCCCTCCGAGTGCCCCACCTGCCACCAGCTCCATCCCCTCCTGGCTTTCCGCAGCACATGCTGGCTCCGGATTGCCAAGCGAGCCTTTCTTTGGAGTCCTGCCAGGGGAATTCTCTCTCTCAAAGAGCAGGCAGCTGAATTCCCCCACCCCCCATCCCCCGTCCAGAAACAAAACTGCTGGGAAGAAAAGGCCAGTGATCCAGGGTGTCTTTCCTTTGCACCAGGCCGCTCTGTTCTTCGGGTCTTCTCTCCCTCGGTGCAAACATTCGGTGTGTTTCCATGAACGTGCCAGCTCCATACAATGGTTTGGTTTTTTTGTCTTTTTTTGTGTTTTTTTTTTTTAACTTAAACCCATAGAAAGCTTCCACTCCTTGTAAACGGTTGAAGAGTCACTGTCCTGCTGTCTCGGCGTTAACCATTTCACTCCCAGGCCGCCCAGGGACTGGCTAGCCCCCCAAGAACCAAACTCCGGGAAGAGACGCCTCTCTGACTGAGATGCAGCTGGCTCATGATGCCGATGACCGGGCGGGGTTGGGGGGAGGGGAGGAAAGTGGTACCCCAGCTGGGCCTCCCCATGTGGGGACGTTAGCTTATTGCACAGTGCATGGCGAAGCGCAGGAGAGTTTGGGTTCTGTTCGTTTTTCTGGAGGGGGGGGATTCTTTCTCTCTCCCCTCCCCCGACATTCAAAAAAGCATTTTCATGTTCGTTCTTTTGATACCTATAAAAAAAGGGGAAGCGAAGATGAGGCTTGGCGACTGGCCGGGAGCGGGGCTGGGGCAGCACCCGCTGGGCTCTAAGAGCAGCCACATCTGTCGACCACCATGCCTGGGATCTTGCCATAGATGATCTGCTGTTTGTCATTGAAGTAAAGCATGTTGATGGGGGACATCTTGGTGGGGGTGCAGCAGGGTCCGGCCGAGCCCCGGGGGTTGGCCTGTTGCACCAGGTGGGTGTGCGGGTACTTCTGCATGAACATGTACTCGCACTGCCCCGAGCAGTAGTTGGCTTTGTACCGCTTGGGGGCGATAATCCAGTCCCAGCCGAAGGCCTCAAAGTCAACAGTCAGCGGGTAGCGGCAGCAGCGGGACTCGGTGGAGTGCTCGTCACAATCCAGCCCCAGGTTCCGCCGCGAGCGCTTGTTGTTCTCCAGCACGCGGAGCTCCATGAAAGGATGCTGGGGAAGAGAGCAGGCAGCTGAGCGATGGCCCTTCCCTGGCTGCCCCGGAGCAGCTAGGGCCAGCCTTTGGGGGATGGGCAGATGCGTCAAGGAGCCAGCCCATCATTTCCCCTAACCAGCCATGCATGTCCGCCATCCCCGCTCCCTCCCATCCTTGCACAGCTATCTGTTCCCCCAGACGTCCCTTTCTACCCCAGCCCTAGCCCCCATCCGCCAGCCCACGCTGCTGTAGGGAACAACCCTCTGTATCGATCTGTGCACCCAGCCACGCCATCGATTTCATCTCCTCCTGCAGCCCCATCTGCCCTCAGCTACTGATCTGTGCACCCAGCCACCCGTCTCTGGCCACCCCATCCATTTCATCTCCTCCTGCAGCCCCGTCTGCCCTGTGCTGGCCTCAGCTGAAATATGGGGAGAGTGTTACCCTAGAGGTGGGGGCCAGGCAATGCAGGCCATGGTCTGCTGCACTGCGTTCTGTGTCACTAGGCTGAGAGTGTCCCTCCCTCTTCCCAAGTGTTCAGCCAGGCCCTGCATCAGGCTCCAGCATTTGAACCTGGGGAGCCATATATCCTGCCAGCAGGAGCGCTAGAAGGCTATGAAAGGGTGCTCACTCATTGGCTCCCCCCAGCTCAGTTGGTGCCCCTCAATCCCAACCTGCAGCCCCTCTTGTCCCAGCCCTGGGCTCTCCTCTGCTCCTCCTAAGCAGAGTTCACCCAGTACATCAAAATGGGCATAATTGTGTAGTGTGTTGAGGAGAGCCCAGTGGCTTGCTGTACTGTGGTCAGCACTGACTGCCAGGGCATAGCGCTCCCTGCTGAGCCCCCCTTTCAGCACAGCGCCCCCTAGTGCCACCCTGGGACATACTGGGGTCAGCACTGACTGCCAGGGCACAGCGCCCCCTGCTGAGCTTCCCCCCTGCAGCACAGCGCCCCCTAGTGCTGCTCTGGGACATACTGGGCTCAGCACTGACTGTGAGGGGAGAGCTCCCCTGCTGAGCCTCCCCACCCCGCTCCCTGCAGCACAGCGCCCCCTAGTGCTGCTCTGGGACATACTGGGCTCAGCACTGACTGTGAGGGGAGAGCTCCCCTGCTGAGCCTCCCCACCCCGCTCCCTGCAGCACAGCGCCCCCTAGTGCTGCTCTGGGACATACTGGGCTCAGCACTGACTGTGAGGGGAGAGCTCCCCTGCTGAGCCTCCCCACCCCGCTCCCTGCAGCACAGCGCCCCCTAGTGCTGCTCTGGGACATACTGGGCTCAGCACTGACTGTGAGGGGAGAGCTCCCCTGCTGAGCCTCCCCACCCCGCTCCCTGCAGCACAGCGCCCCCTAGTGCTGCTCTGGGACATACTGGGCTCAGCACTGACTGTGAGGGGAGAGCTCCCCTGCTGAGCCTCCCCACCCCGCTCCCTGCAGCACAGCGCCCCCTAGTGCTGCTCTGGGACATACTGGGCTCAGCACTGACTGTGAGGGGAGAGCTCCCCTGCTGAGCCTCCCCACCCCGCTCCCTGTAGCACAGCGCCCCCTACCTTTGCGCTGGGGTATTGGGCTCAGCACTGACCCAGGGGAGAGCTCCCCAGTGACCCTTACCAAGTCAGGCAGAGCCCTGTAAGTGGCCAGGGAGGGGGTGGGGGCCCCGTTCCCACCCTGAATGTTTACCTACCAGTCCTTCTGCTCCGGGGCCAAGGGAGGTGACTGCCAGGTCGTTGCCATTCGGGTCAAAGGCGTTGATCTCGATGCCCCAGTTGTTCTGCGGCTGCTTGAACCAGTTCTGCAGCACGTGCTTGAAGTCAATGCTCTGCCAGTGGCCGATGCGGGAGTTGAGGTCGATCTTGAGGGAGCGGATGCGGATGTGGCGGCTGCCCTCCTCGGTGACGGGCTTGAGGCGCAGGATCTGCAAGTAGACGGTGGAGGTGTGCTGCACGGGCCGCAGGTACACCCACAGCTGGGCCTTCACCACCTTGGTGAACATGATCTTGGGGCTGAAGTTGAAGTAGCAGCAATGGGGGCTCCCCTCTATCTGCACCACTGGGTCCGCTGCGGTGGGGGGGGAAAGCACAAGTGAGCAGAGCTGCCTCCCGGCTCTGGACACCCCGCTAAGTAGACGGTGGAGGTGTGCTGCACGGGCCGCAGGTACACCCACAGCTGGGCCTTCACCACCTTGGTGAACATGATCTTGGGGCTGAAGTTGAAGTAGCAGCAATGGGGGCTCCCCTCTATCTGCACCACTGGGTCCGCTGCGGTGGGGGGGGAAAGCACAAGTGAGCAGAGCTGCCTCCCGGCTCTGGACACCCCGCTGCCCAGTCCCCAGGAGTCAGGCCTTCCCAGAGCTGCGGCCGGGGCCTGGTGAACCCCTCCGGGGTCGTTAGGAGGTGAAGGTCGGGTCATAGGTCATTAGAAAGGTCGTTTTCCCTATATCTGCAGTAGGGCTTTGCATCTGGCCTCTGACCCCAATGCCATGAGGTATTAATGATCCCCCTGCAGATATTACACAGCCCAGGATCGAGATGGAGCTGCAGGGTGGGATTGAGGGTCGGCGACCGAGCTGGGGGGATCCAGCATTGGAGTAGTGGTGGGGCACTGAAAGAGCCGTGGGTAGCAGGGGATGGATCCGAGCGGCAGGGCTATAGGTCAGGGAGGCCAGAACCTTGCAGGACCAGCCAGTGGCCCATGTCTTCCAAGCTGCCTGTCACTGATCCCCATATGTTGGAAAAGCTGCCCCTAAGCAACCCTGTACTAGGGGGTGCAGGAACCCTGAGTCCCCCACACTCCACAGCAAGGGAACTGGAGCCAGCCCACGGCCCGGCCAGCCTTTCCTCCTGGGCTGATCATGGGGCCTCTCAGGTGCACCCCCAACAGGAGCCATTCCCCTGCAGAGCTGGACAGACCCCAGACTGGCTGACTCACTGGGTCGTCCCTGGATTCCAGTCTCCTTCCAACACTCAGCCCCGAGTCGCTGGGGCCTGGAACCCAGGAGCGCTGAACTTCGAGGCTGAGCCCTCAAACGTGGGCAGAGTTTAGGGTGAATCCAGGTGGAGGTGTTTGGGGGATTCCAGGACGCTGTTTCTGCCCCCACACTCATATTTTGCAGTCCCTCTCTTTTGTTACCAAAACACTTCTGCCAAACACAAATAACCCCTGCCTGCCCTCGCTTCCTCCACCCGAGTCACACCTGGATCATCCCACCTGGCCCTGAAATGCAGCCACCTCTGGGGTGGCACATGCCAGCTGTGGAACAGCTCCAGCAAAGCTACACGTGCGTGTAGATGATGAGGGGAGAGGAATGGAGAGCGGCAGCGGAATAAAAGTGCCACAGCCGGGATTTGGCCAGGATTAACACCCGGAGCCCTTTGAAAATCGCTAGGGACTCTAGAAACCACGGCCACCTCTGGAGCATCGCTTGCCAGCTGTAGCATAGTGCCGTGCCGAGCTCCCCTCCCCCTCCGCAGGAAAGGCGTGGTTCAACTCTGCATTGATTTGTGGGTCTCTGTCGTCAGGGTGCCCCAGGAAGGGGCAGGGTGCCGGTCACGGGAGGGTCCAGTCAAGTGGAAAAGGACAGTAGGGCGGCCAGCGGGGAGCTGCCACCTTTCCCAGGTGCTGTCTGAGCGCTGGCAATGGAATGAGCAGGGGTGCTGAGTCCTAAGAAACTCATGCCACTGGTAGTGTGAAGCAGCAAGGCCCCTGGCAGGGAGGTCGAGCTCTTGGGGGAACTCCCTAAACTTAGCCCAGCCCCAAAGCTGGGAGCCAGGGCAGCTGCGCTCACCACGTCTCCCATAACTTGTTTGTGTCTGAGGGCAAGTGTGCACCTTCCCTGGAGATTGGCGGGGAAGAGGGGATGGGGAATGCAGCCAGGAACATGCTGGCACCTGCCAAGGGAAACATTTATCCAAGCCGAACCAGCACAGCAGACGGGGGGTGGCAAGCACATGTCTGGGCCTTGGAATCCCAGGAACTCGGCAATTCTGCAGCACTTAGCTGCAAACAGAGCAAAACAATGGGCCCAGAGAGAAAGGCAGCCCCCCCCCCATGCCACGGGCCCGTGGCAAGAGCCCCCAGGGCTGTGCTGAAGAGGGTTGGGCAAGAGCTTCTGCCCCTGCCAGCAGGAGCAGTGTCAAGGCTGGGGCTGCGTGGGGCTGGGAACCCCTTAGAGCTAGGGAAGCAGGAATTGAGGGCTGGGGGCAGGGAGGCTGCGCAGCTCTTTGCCGGGGCAGTCAGCACATTCTCTGGGGTTGCAGCGGCACCAAAACCTCCCAGGCCTAGCCCTGGCTCTGGTCCATGGTCACAAGCAGGACCAGGCCTGTTGAGCCATTTGGAACAAAGCCTCCGATTTCCCCTCGGAGCGGGGGAGTAGCATTACGACAGTGCTTGTCCAGAGCTCAGAGAACCTGAGGGGGAGGAAATGGGGAACCCGGATTCCTGGGTTCTCTGCCCGCTCCTGATACTGACTGGTCATGTGGCCTTAGGGTGAGACCTGGCTCGTCTCTGCCCTTCCTGTGAACTGAGTGTCGGAGCAGGGGGTCAGGCACTGCGGGTACTGTCGGAGCAGGACTGGGTGCTGTGGGCACCCTGGGAGTGGGCCAGGGTGCCACGGGGCCGGGTGCCACAGGTACTGTCAGAGCAGGGGCCAGGTGCCGCAGGTATCGTCAGAACAGGGCCGGGTGCTGCAGGTAGCGTTGGAGCAGGGGCTGGGTGCCGCGGGTGCTGTCGGAACGGGGCAGGGCCAGTTATGGGCGTCTCAGAGACAGTTGCGAAGTCGTTGGAGGAAAGAATGGGGTGCCAGGACTCATGGGTTCTCTCCCTGGCCTTGAGAGGGGAGTGGATTCTAGTTCGGGGGCACTAGGATCCAGGCCTACAGGCTCTGTGCCCAGAGCTGGTCGCAGATTGAGGCCTAGTGCTTAGAGCAAAAGGGACCTGCCTTGGGGCCAGGACTGCTGGGTTCTACTCCTGGCTCTGGGAGGATCTGCTGCCCCTGCGTCCCCATCCCCCTCCTTAGCATGAGTGGTGCTGGGGGAATTCTGCATTCATTGCTTTGGAGCCACAGCAACATTGCAGAACTCCCCCTGGACGGGTACCGGGAGCGGGCATGTTCGTTCCCTGCTGCCGTTCATTTCCTGCTGGCAGGTTGGGGCTGAGGGGACCCTTGTCTGCAGCTAGCGAGCAGCAGCTGCGGGAGCCGGGAAGCTGGGGCCCAGCGGCAGGACAGGGGCTTTGATGGGGACGTGGTTATTTTATACCCCACTGTACAGCCCTGGGGATGTCCTGGTGGCCACATGCCCACCCCCGACAGTAAGACAGCTGGGGCCAAAAAGTGCGTCTGAGCCGCTGGTTAGAAACAGCCTCCGGGGACCATCCGCTTCCAGTGCCCTCTCCCTCAGCCCTGCCCCAAACTCATCCTGCTGGTGGGTCCCGGGGGCCGTGGCCCCAGCTCACACCGAGCTTTCTGGTTTAAAGTCCCTGCCCATCCACAGCCCTCTAGCCTCATCCATGGCCATGTGTCTGGCCGTCCAGCCCTCCTTCCCCAGCACGTACCCGTCCATCCGCATCCTTGACCCCCTGCGTGTCTATCCTCCCGCTCCCCCACCCTTCCCTGCCCATGTGCACAGCCCCAGCTGAACAGTCCTCTCACCAGCAAGCCCCATGCCCCTTTCTCCCTCCATGCAGCTTGCAAGCCACAAGCAGCTGTCTGTGTTTGCAGGGGCGGGTCAGGGGCAGGGAGCTGGAGGAGAAAGAAGGATGGGGGGGGGGCAAAGAAGGACCCAGATGGAGCCTGGTTCCCAGAAGAAGGGAGCCTGGACCTGTCAGGGGGGGGGGGGCAGGGGGAA